GGCCTGTGGCATGCGCCTGTAGTCCCAGCTACTCAGGAGGCTGAGGTGGGAGGATTGCTTGAGCCCAGGAATTAGAGATGGAATGAGCAGAGATGGTGCCACTGCACTCCAGCATGGGTGACAGAGCAAGACCCTGTCTGAAAAAGAAAGGAAGAAACTTAAAGATTGTAATTTTTGTAGGCCAAGTGGTCAAATATGCCCGCAATTACATATGGTTCAACTTAATGAATGGCAAATAAAATAAAAATAAAACTTATTTTAAAAATAAAAATAAAAACAATAAATGGCAAATAAAAACAAATTAGGTTCTATGATGACTCTGTAATTAATTCAAAACTTACCAAAGTCTTCTGCATGCACGTCCTAAATGTTGTTACCAGTGGAGCACAAGGGAGTGAAGTTAAACACCAAAAGTAACTTCCCAACCATTAACACTGAAACCCAGGAAAGAAAGGAAGGCTTTTAAGGAAAAAGAGTGGTGATGATCAGTGTGAAGTGACTTAAAAGCCCCAACAGTGGGCTGGAAGATGGCTGACTTGCTCCCTCGACAGCTCAAATCTCCCTTTCCCTTTCTCTCTTTCAGTTTGTCTAAGAGGCTGCTTCAAACCAGCCAGGACTTAGCCATGGGTTTGGCTCAGAAGTCCTTGTTTGCAGGCCTCCGAGAAAACTCCAGAGAAGACCAGACAGGACAGCAGGCTTCCTCATTAGAACACCCCCAGCATGAGATCAAAGGTCTCGTTCCCTCAGCCCTGGCTGTATACCAACTTCCAAGAAATTGAAAATAGAGAGGAGACAGGAGACAGATACACATTCCCCCAGGTTCAGTCTGTCTGGTCTTTGCAGGTAAGTCCTGATTTCTTAGCTCAAGTTTCCAGGAGTCACCTTTTGCATCTGTTTCACAGCATAGTCGCCTTCTGAGTCCCCCTGTCTCTAGTGAATCAAAGCTAACTCTCTTATATGTATTAACACTAATTTCCTCATGTCCTTCCTCAAGAACAATTATTCACCACTTTCAATCCAAAATCTTCAGTGTAGACTTTTGCAACTCGTCACTTTAACAGCATCACACCATGTCAACTTGAACAAAATCTGCAACAGTGATGGGACCTAGCTTAGAGTCTGTGTGGAAACAGAAGAATAGACAGGGTTACTTCTGAAAAGTATAGTGAAATTGTGTTGCTCACTGTTGCATACATGCTGTTTCTATGGGGGTGAATGTATGTGTGTTCACATAGGGTGGGGAGTGGTAAATGAGTGCACACATGCACAAATCTAGTTGGTAAGTGTGCCTGAAGGCTACATGAGCATTTTCTGGAACTCTATGCCCTAAGTTTCACTCCATAAATTTCTTTTATTGGCAGTATTCAGAAAACCAAGGGCCATGTAATAATTTCCTCTCTTGCTCCCCTTCACTTGCATAGGATGAAAAGCTGAAAATTGATGGTGATATCCTTTGGAGGAACCAGGAGTGCCATCCATTCCCACCTTGTCATCTGTCCCTCTACAGCTTTCCTCCTCACTCCACTCCTTCTGCTCTGCTCCAGAGGACAGATTTTCTCCTTTTTTCCCCCAGACCTTCTCCACTGATTCCTTCTGAAACTTCCCTGTGGAGCAGCCACCCTAGGTTAAAAAGCACAAGAAGGATTTTCAGTTAACCCAACCATAAGACTCAGAAAACATCCTCCATGGAGATCCAAACAGAGGTCTTCTCTTTCCTCCACTTAAAGCCATCATAGTCCGACTTTGAAAGGCTCTAGGGAAAGAGTCCACTCTGCTGTTGATCCTCAAGTAGAGGATTTGTAACTCTCTTTTATCCTTCCTACCATAGGTTTGGCCATATTCTATTGAGACTATTTTGTTTCCACTAAATAGGAAGTTTTGGGCAAAGGATAAGGGAAGTTGAAAGGCAGGGACAGAGAATGCTGGATAGAGTAGTACACAGCTGGGTTTTTTTTTTTTTTTTTTGAAACAGATTCTCACCCTGTCATCCAGGTTGGAGTGCAGTGGCACTATCTCGGCTCACTGCAACCTCCACCTCCTGGGTTCAACCAATTCTCCTGCCTCAGCCTCCTGAGTAGCTGGGACTACAAGGGTGTGCCACCACACCTGGCTAATTTTTGTATTTTTTGGTAGAGATGGGGTTTCACCATGTTGGCCAGGCTGGTCTCGAACTCCTGGCTTCAAGTAAAGTGCTGGGATTACAGAAAACCAGAGTCACTTTGTCTGTTTCTTGCCTCTTCACCTCTCCCCTCTGGGTTGAACTATAATCTCTTTAGTGTTAATAACCTCTAAGAACCTAATTCCTGCCACCTAACAAAATGAAATGGATTCCATTGCTTCGGTGAGTGACCAAAACTTTGCAAACCCTCATGAATAGAAAGCACTTCCTGAGGTTAAATCAACTTTCTCTGCAGCAGCTTCAGCTCTAATTCTAGGCAGATAGACTACCATTGGCATCTGCCTTCTGTGTAAAAAAGGAAAGCCTCTCTTGATTTCTATTGCCAGTTCTCATACCTCTTCAAAAATCAATTCCAGCACAACTTGAATTTTTTTGGGAGAAAACACAGAATTTTTTTTAAATCTCGGGGTAGGGGAGAATTTTTCTTTCTTTTTTTCTTTTCTCTCTCTCTCTCTTTTTCTTTTTTTTTTTTTTTTTGAGACAGAGTCTTTTGCACTGTCACCAGGGCTGAAGTGCAATGGCATGATCTCAGCTCATTGCAACCTCCACCTCCCAGGTAAAAGCGATTCTCCTGCCTCAGCCTCCCAAGTAGCTGAAATTACAGGCACCCAACACCACGCCCAGCTAAATTTTTGTATTTTCAGTAGAGACAGGGTTTCACTATGATGACCAGGTTGGTCTGAAACTCCTGACCTCATGATCCGCCCACCTCGGCCTCCAAAAATGCTGGAATTACAGGTGTGAGCCACCATACCGGCCAGATTTCTTAGAATAAGATATTAAAAGAGCAAATCATAATGGAAGAGATGAATAAATTCGACTACATTAAAAACTTGTTTTCTTTTTTTCCCCCTTTTCTAAGTTATATTTGTTTGGATTGGCTCTTTGCATATATATATTTTTTAATTTATTTATTTTACTTTAGGTGCATACTGTATCTAGCATTTCTCCCCATGATATCCCTCCCCCATCCTCCCCTCCCTCCCCACCCCCCATTGTCTCTCCCCTATGCCCCCGAACTCTCCCCTGTGTGTGATGCTCCTCTCCCTGAGTCCACGTATTCTTGTTGTTCAACACCCACCTGTGAGTGAGAACATATGGTGCTTGGCTTTCTGCTCTTGGGTCAGTTTGCTGAGAATGATGGTTTCCAGATTCATCCAAGTCCCTACAAAGGACAAGAACTCTTCGTTTTTTATGGCTGCATAGTATTCCATGGTGTATATGTACCACATTTTCTTTGTTCAGTCTATCATTGATGGGCATTTGGGTTGGTTCCAGGTCTTTACTATTGTACACAGGGATGTAGTGAACATACATGTGCATGTGTCTTTATAGTAGAATGATTTATAGTTCTTTGAGTATATACCCAATAGTGGGATTGCTGGGTCAAATGAAATTTCTATTTCTAGATCCTTGAGAAATCACCACACTGTCTTCCACAATGGTTGAACTAATTTACACTCCCACCAACTGAGTAAGAGTGTTTCTATTTCTCCACATTCTCTCCAGCATCTGTTGTCTCCCAATTTTTTAATGATCACCATTCTAACTGGTGTGAGATGATACCTCAGTGTGGTTTTGATTTGCATTTCTCTAATGACCAGTGATGATGAGCATTTTTTCATGTTTGTTGGCCTCATATATGTCCTCTTTTGAAAAGTGTCTGTTCATATCCTTGTTCATAACTTTTGAATGGGGTTGTTTGTTTGTTTGTTTTTTTTCTTGTTTTAGTTCTTTGTAGATTCTGGATATTAGCCCTTTGTCAGATGGGTAGATTGCAAAAATTTTTTCCCATTCTGTTGGTTGCCGATTCACTCTAATGATGGTTTCTTTTGCTGTACAGAAGCTCTGGAGTTTAATTAGATCCCATTTGTCTATCCTGGCTTTTATTGCCATTTGCTTTTGGTGTTTTAGTCATGAAGTCCTTGCCTATGCCTATGTCCTGGATGGTTTTGCCTATGTTTTCTTCTAGTGTTTTTATGGTGTTAGGTTTTATGTTTAAATCTTTGATCCACCTGGAGTTAATTTTAGTGTAAGGTGACAAGTAGGGGCAGAATCTGCTTTCTGCACATTGCTAGCCAGTTTTCCCAACACCATTTATGAAACATGGAGTCCTTTCTCCATTGCTTGTTTTTGCTGGGTTTGTCAAAGATCAGATGGTTGTAGATGTGTGGTGTTTCTTCTGGGGTCTCTGTTCTGTTCCATTTGTCTGTGTCTCTGTTTTGGTACCAGTACCATATGTTCTGATTACTGTAACCTTGTAGTATAGTTTGAAGTCTGGCAGTGTGATGCCTCCAGCTTTGTTCTTTTTGCTTAGGATTGCCTTGGCTATGCAGGGTTTCTTGTGATTCCATATGAAGTTTAAAGTGGTTTTTTCCAGTTCTGTGAAGAAGGTCATTGGTAGCTTGATGGGGATGGCATTGAATTTATAGATTACTTTGGGCAGTATGGCCATTTTCACGATATTGATTCTTCCTAACCATGAGCATGGGATGTTTCTCCATCTGTTTGTGTCCTCTCTTATTTCCTTGAGCAGTGGTTTGTAGTTCTCCTTGAAGAGGTCCTTTACATCCTTTATCAGTTATATTCCTAGGTATTTTATTCTCTTTGTAGCAATTGTGAATGGGAAATATATATATTTTTTGTTTTTTTAAATTGTTGTCAGGTTCTGGGGTACATGTGCAGATCATGCAGGATTGTTGCATAGGTACATACATGGGAATGTGGTTTGCTGTCTCCATCCCCCGTCACCTATATCTGGCATTTTTCCCCATGTTATCCCTCCCCAACCTCTCCACCCCCAGTTGTCCCTCCCCTAAAAACTTGTTTTCTTTAAAGGCTCCATTTACAAAGTGACAAGTCACAAACTGGAAGATATATGCTACTCAATGACTTATAAAGAATTTGTACTCAAAATATATAAAGAATTGATTTTTTAAAGCAGTAATAAGACAACTGGAACACTAGAATAATTTTCAAAAGACATGAATAGGCCAGTCACTTAAGTGAAAATCCAAGTAGCCAATAAATAGCCAAAATGCTCATACTCTAGTAATCAATAAAATGGAAATTAAAATAATCCATCAAATTGGTAAAATTTAAGAAGTATATACCCGGCTGTCTAGTGTTTAGGGGAAAAATGTATCATAATATCAAGTGCTGGTGAGAATGTGGAGCAACTGCAAGCCTTATGCACTGCTAGTAAGAGTGTATACACTGGCACAAACACTTTGGAAACAATTTAAGTTTATCTTCCACAATTGAAGACATGCATACCCCATCACCTGACAGTTCTTTTTTTTAAATTGTGGTAAAAAACCACATAACTTAAAATTTACCATTTTAACGTTATTTAAGTATACAGTGCGGAGTGTTAACTGTGTGTATATCGTTGTGCTGCAGATCTCTAGAACTTTTTCCTCTTGCAAAGCTGAAACTCTATATCCATTGAACAGGCAATCCTTTTACCCCTTCCCACAGCCCCTGGCAACTGAAATTCTACTTTCTGTTTCTAAGAGTTTGGCTATTTTAGATATCTTATAAAAGTGGAATTACACAGGATTTTTCTTTTTGTGACTGGCTTATTTCACTTAACATAATGTCTTCAAGATTCACCCATATTGTAGCATATGACAAGACTTCCTTTTTCTTTTTTTTTAAAGGCTGGATAATATAGCACATTTTTAAAAATCCACTCATGAGTTGGTGGACATTTAGGTTGCTTTTACCTCTTGGCTATTGTGAGTAATGCTGCAATGAACACAACTGCAAGTATCTCTGAGACCCCATTTTCAATTCCTGTGGATAAATACCTAAAAGTGGGATTGCAAGATCATATGGCCATTATATTTTTAATTTTTTGAGAAACTTCAATCCTGTTTTCCATGGCTGCTGCACCATTTTACACACCTGCCAAGAGTACACAAGGGTTACAGTTCTCCACACTCTTGCCAATACTTGTTATTTTTTAATTTTAAAAATGATGACCGTCCCAACAGATGTGAGGTGGTGAACAAAACAGAAAAGAGAAGCAAACAAAACAGAAAAAAGTTTTTGGAGTTTGAAGATGAAAACAGCAAACACTTAAAAAATATTTCAGCCAGGGAAAATTTTAGAAAACCCATACCAAGTTCTGTTATGTATGACCCACAATTGTCCAGGATCTCCTGTGGTTTTGATTTGCCTTTCCCCAATGATAACTGATGTAAAGCCTCTCTTCATATGCTTTTTGACCACTTGCATATCTTCTTTGGAGAAATATCTATTTAAGTCATTTGCCCATTTTCTAATAAATTATATTTTATATTGTTTGTGAGTTGTAGGAGTTTTTTATGTATTCTGGATATTAACCCCTTATCAGACATATGGCTTAAACATATTTTCTCCCATTCCATAGGCTGCTTTTTTACTCTGTTGATTGTTTCTTTTGCCGTGCAGTTTTTAAGTTTGATGTAGTTTTAATGTCTATTTTTGCTTCTGTTGCCTGTGCTTTTATGTCATATCCAAGAAATCATCGTCAGATCTAGTGTCACACAGCTTTTCCCCTCTGTGTTTTTGAGTTTCAGGTCTTACGTTTGGGTCTCTAACACATTCTGAGTTGGTTTTTGTAAGTTGATGGCATTAGATAATGGTCCAGTTTCCCTCTTTCTCATTCAGTTTTGTCAACTTCATTTGTTGAAGAGACAATCCTCTCACCATTATGTGTCTTGGCACTTTTGTCAAAGAGCATTTGACCTTTTATTTCCTTTTCTTAGCTTGATTGCTTGGGCCAGGAATTCCAGTGCTATGCTGAATAGAAGTGGTAAGAGCAGGCATCCTTGCTTTGTTCTTGTTCTTAGAGAGAAAGCTTTCAATGTTTCACTCCTGAATATAATGTTATCTGTGTCCATCAGTTCTTAAATATACATCCTGGAGAAACTTTTGTACATATATTTCTAGAGACATGTGCAACAATATTTATAACAGTATCATTTATAAAAACAAAGACCTGAAAACAACTGGACTAACTATTGACGGGAGAATGGGCAAATAAATTGTGGTATGTTTATTTATTTAACTATAATACAGCAGTAAAAATGAACTAAAACTATAGCCAGCAATGAGGATGAGTGTCATAGCATAATGTTGAGAGAAAAAAGCAGGTTGCCAAAGAATTCATACATTATAGAGGGAAAACACATTAAAAACTAAATAATATATTGTTAAGGGATCTATATGTAGCCAAAACATAATGAAATGTGATGAATGATAAATGCAAAATTGGGAGTGAAAGTTTCCTTCCAAGGGAATGAAAAGAGATAATCAGATAGGGACACCAAAAAGGCTTCATCAATATTAACAATAATCTGGCCAGGCGTGGTGTCTCATGCCAGTAATCCCAGCACTTTGGGAGGCCGAGACGGGCAGATTACCTGATTTCAGGAGTTCAAGACCAGCCTGACCAACATGACAAAAAGCCGCCTTTTCTAAAAATACAAAAATTAGTTGGGCATGGTAGTGCATGTCTGTAGTCCCAGGTACTTGGGAGGCTGAGGTAGGAGAACTGCTTGAACCGGGGAGGCAGAGGTTGCAGTGAGCCGAGATCGCACCACTGCACTCCAGCCTGGCGACAGAGCAAGACTCCATCTCAAAAAAAACAACAACAAAAACCACCAATAATCTCTCTCTTATGTGGTAGGACATGGGTGTCTGTCCAAATTATTTAATCTTACATTTAAGTTATATATATTCTTTTATATGTATGAAATATCTGAAGATAATGAAAATACTTTCACTCATTCAACAACCATTTATCAAATACTGACTATGTATCAGTCGCTGTTGCAACTGCTTAAGATATAGGAGTGAGCAAAACAAAAAGAAAAAACATTCTAGAGTTTGAAGGTGAAAACAGCAAACGCTTAAAATCAATATGTCGGCCACAGAATATTTTGGAAAACCCATACCAAGTTCTGTTATGTATGACCCACCAATTGTCCATGATATAGCACCCAAATCAGTTATCCCAGAATGAGACAGCAATTATAGGTAACTCCCAATTATTTACGCTGGGCAAGGGGCACAATGGTGTGGGTAATCTAAGACAAGGACTTATATACTCAATTAGATCAATATCACAGGAAGGAAGAAGAGGCAGAGTTCATCCAAATAGTAATCTGCAATATCAGTTAATCCAAACAATAAGAAAAAAGCAAATATCATTTGCACTTGTCTTTGGGATATATTACCCTGCTGGTGCAGCACATTCACTTAAAGTCCTTTCTCTTGCACGTTTTAAAAAGACGTGTTGGTAACTTCACGCCCACTGCATGGACTGCTCAGTGGAAAACTGCTGCTTCAGTCACTCACTCACTGTCTCTACTAGATGTCCATCACACGAAACATGTTGCTATTGGCACACAGAAGGGGGGCATCTAACTCTTCAGAGAGGAATACATCAATGTTGCCTTCTCGGAGTGGTGCTGTTTAGGCAGCATTGAAGACTAGGTAGGAATTTCTTAGGAGGAGAATGAGAAGGGCATTCCAGACAGAAGGACTGACATATGAAGAGGCTTGTGGCATCACAGGGCATGGGATAGCAGGAAGCTCATTGTGGCAGGAACCTAGGGGAAGCAAGGCAAAGTAGGATTGATGAGAAGTTAGTTAGTGTCATACCCAAGAGCTTAGTCTCTATTTGATCAGCAATGCAGAGCCAAGGTTTGAGCAGAGAAGTGAATCAACCAGTTTCATTTTTTGAAAGATAATTCAGGTAGTAGTGGTGATGTCGAGTTGGCCTGGAAAAGAAAAGACATCTGGTAGAAAGAAGTATATGGTGGCTATGCAATAGTTCAGGGCAAAGATTATCAAAATCTGAGCTAAAGCAAGGCAGAGGGGAGACAAAGGAGAAATGTATTCAAGAGATATTTCTGGCCAGGTGTGGTGGCTCACGCCTGTAATCCCAGCACTTTGGGAGGCTGAGGCAGGAGGTCTTGATCACGAGGTCAGGAGTTCAAGACCAGCCTGATCAACATGGTGAAACCCTGTCTCAAAAAAAAAAAATTTTTTTTTAAATAAGAGATATTTCTGAAATGCAATTCAATTGGCCTGAGTGATTAACTTGATAAGGAAGACAGGGTGTTGAGGATAACTGCAAATTTTTAGCCTGACAGACTGGGCAAATGGTGAGTCTGAAACTGAGATAAGGAATGCTCTGGAAAATGATGGATTGAAGAGTAAGATGGAATTGAAGTTTTAGAGAAAAGGGACTCAAGGAAAACTTACTTTGGGTGAGGAAATGAGAATATGGGTTAAGGACAGGAGAAAAAAAGAATATGTTCTTAGAACAGAAGAGAGGTTGATCTGAAAGTAATAAGGCTATATCTTTCTCTAATTAATATAAGAGATATGGAGGGAAGGATGTTCAGAGTTTAAAGGCCAAGGGAAGAGAAAATAGGGAGTTAGCATCAGATGGCTATAATTTGGGGGAAGCTGTGAGAGAGAAGCTAACATACTGAGGGTGAATAGGAGATGTAAGGTGTGAGAATACCCTAGTACATATACTTTCTCACTTACGTATATTAACAAGATTCCAGTTTCAAGCCACACTTAAAATCTGCAACTGCTCATCCTAAAACACTTTCTGTTCTCTAGATGTTATCTGTCATCAGGTCTCTCAGAACATTTTTCTTGCAAGTAGACCTGGAGACTCGCAAAGTTGGTTGATAGCAAAACAACTCAATTTAGCAGGTAAGTGTCATTTCTTTCCGTTTTTATGGTTGTATGGAAACTTAGAACCCCTGAGAACTGAAACATCTACAAAAGCTTCTGGCCAGTTCAGGAAATCTGCTTAATATTTAGTAAGCCGCTTAAACATTTGAATTCTATGGAATCAGTGTAAACTCTCAAAGAAACATCTAGTTCAATTCAACGTTTATTGAGAACCTGTGAACCAGGCACTACATTAGATGCTAGGGACACAAGGACAAGCCAAACACAACCTTTCCCCTTAGAAAGCTCGTGGTCTAGGGGAGCAGCTTCCCTCCTGGTAGGTAGAAGGCAGTATGCTTATATACAATGAGCTGCAGGAAAGTCAGTGCTCTGTTTTTACTTTTAATGCAGTATTACTTCTTCTATGTGTAGATGACTAATATTCCGTCAGCTTTTAAAAGTTTTAATAAATTTTGACATAAGTGTACACTTGTAAAACCATCATTATATTCAAGATAATAAATATATCCATCATCCTCAGAAGTTTCTTTCCCATCTTCCCCTCCAGCCCTCACCCCTGCCCAGGCAACCACCGATCTGATTTCTGTCACAATGGAATAGCTTGCATTTTCTAGAGTTTATATAAATGGAATCATATAGTATGTTCTTTATTATTTGGCAACGGTCAGCGTTTTTTCTTCTTTTGTGAGACACGGTCTCACTCCATCACCCAGGATGAAGTGCAGTGGCATGATCATTGCTAGCTGCAGCCACAAACTCCTAGATTTAAGAGATCTTCCAACCTCAGCCTCCCAAGTAGCTGGGACTACAGGAATACATCGCCGTGCCTGGTTAATTTTTATCTATATTTTGCAGGACAAGATCAAACTCCTGGGTTCAAGTGATCCTCCCATCCCAGCCTCCAAAGGGTTGTCTTTACAGTTGTGAACCACTGCACCTGGCTCAACAGTCAGTTTTTGACAGACCATGGTAATGGAAAGAAATGTGGATCATTTTCTCTTCCCTTCTTCCCTCCTTCCTTCCTTCTTTCCTCCTTCCTTCCTTCTTTCCCTCCTTCCTTCTTTCCTCCCTCCCTCCTTCCTCCCTCCTTCCTTTTCTTCTTTCCTTCCTTCCCATCTTTCCCTTCCCTTCCATCCTTTCTGCCTCCCTTTCTTCCCTCTCCCTTCTTTCTTTTCCTTCTTTCTCTCTCTTTCCCTTCTTTCTTTTCTTTTTTCTTTCTCTCCTTCCTCCTTCCTTCCTTTTTTTTAAATTGCATTTTAGGTTTTGGGGTACATGTGCAGAACATGCAAGATAGTTGTATAGGTACACATGTGGCAGTGTGCTTTGCTGTCTTCCTCCCCTTCACCCATATTTGGCATTTCTCCCCATGCTATCCCTCCCCAGCTCCCCCACCCCACTGTCCCTCCCCTATTCCCCCCAATAGACCCCAGTGTGTAGTGCTCCCTTCCCTGTGTCCATGTGTTCTCATTGCCTGCCTGCCTGCCTTCCTTCCTTCCTTTCTTCCTTCCTTCCTTCCCTCCCTCCTTTCTTCCTTCTTTCTTTCTTTCTTTTTTGAGTCTCACCCCTCACCCTGATTGGAATGCAGTGGTCATAACTCACTGCAGCCTTGACCTTCTGAGCTCAAGTAATCATCCTGCCTCAGCCTTCTGAGTATCTGGGACTACAGGTGTGTGCCACCATGCTTGGCTAATTTTTAATTTTTTGTAGAGGCAGAGTCTCACTATGCTACCCAAGCTGATTTTGAACTCCTGGCTTCAAGCAATTCTCCCACCTCAGCCTCCCAAAGTGCTGTGATTACAGACACGAGCCACCACAACCTGCTGCTAGTTTCTTTTTTATATCTTTTTAAAAAAATCTTATGGTAGTCCTGCACATGGTAGATAATTTCTTTTTCTTTTTTTAAATTAAATTTCTTTTTTAACATAACACCACTTTATTTATTTTTTTTAAAAAATTATTTATTATGCTTTAAGTTCTGGGGAGGGACAGCATTAGAAGAAATACCTAACGTAGATGACGGGGCAATGGATGCAGCAAACCACCACCACGGCACGTGAATACCTATGAAACAAACCTGCATGATCTGTGCAGGTACCCCAGATAATTTCTTAAAGTGGATATTTTTTAAATCATAAAGGGAAAGATTTTTAAACTAAATTAATAGTCAAGGTCATGTGAATTGATTGATAAAATTCTTCTGGAATTTGTGTGGGAAACTTAAATGCACATAGTCTGACCATTGACAAAAGCAGAATACGCCTTTGAGCATGACATAGTACAAAATGGACAGGTTTGGGAGCCAGAGCTGCATTCAAACTTAGGTTCCACCTAGAAGAGTGATTTGGAGTGTATTATTTAACCTTGCTGAGTTTTGGTTGTTTAACCCATAAAGTAGGAATAATAAGACCTCTTTATTGGGTGACTGCAAAGATTCAATTAGGCTTGGATATGGAAAGTATCTCAAGCTCAAATATTAGTTTCTCTTCCCTTAACTGTGTTTCTTGTTTCTATGAGAATATTACTCAGACTTGCAGATAAAGTCATTTAAGGTTTATCCAACATAAGAGTGGCCACTTAGCGATTTTGAGAACATATATGTAGAGCAGGGCTAATCTATGTAATATTGTTTATACCAGCCAGTTGACCTTCGTAATTCTGCTTTCTCCTAATTAACATGAAAAAGAATTTGGTATTAGTGTTCCTCAACTTCTCATTAATTATGGTGGGAGAAGATAGCCAAGGGGCCAGTGAGAGCAGGAATTGACCAAAGAAATTGCTGGGGATAATATCCAAAGTGGGTAACACAGAGAAAGGAGTCAGTAGCTAAAATGGATTGGGTGCTTACTACATGCCAGGCTCCATTAAGGCTTTACCTGAATGATTGCATTTAACCTTCACAACAAACCTCTAAGTTAGGCACTATGGTTAGGCCCATTTTATAGGTGAGAAAAATCAAGGCTTAGAGAAGTTAAGAAACTTACCCAAGTTGATACAGATGGAAGTGGCAAGGAAGGATTTTAATCTAGGTCTCTAACATCAGAGCCCAAACCCTTAACCATGTCTTTCAGAGAAGCACAGAGCAGTTCCAGGCTCAAAATATGTCTCTCATTTGCAGTAGGCCCCACAGAGGTCTTCTGCTCTTACAAAAAGAGGAAGAGAAACTACTACAAAAATAGTGTCCTGAATTTTAAGAAAATGACCATCCACAGCGACTAATGGGAATCAGTTATTCCATGATGATCTTGTTCAGGCTGTCTGGCCATGGGTCACCTGTTTTAGGCCTTCCCAAACCCTACCCTCCATCCCTAACATGTCCTTGATTTCCCTCACTGCTAGAAAATTTCTCCTGTTGCTGAATCTCAGTTCATCCCATTGAAGTGGAGGCCCTCCGATTCTGGCTTACATTCATTTCCCTCTAGGGCTATTTGTCAAGGAGGGGGTGAGTAGGGACTTAATGACATGCTTTCCTTAACAATCTTCCAAACCTATCATCTGGGACAGGGTTTATAAGCATTCATCAACAACACCCTAGCAAAGTAGGTTAGTAGGATGAGCCCACTACCTGTTTAGGAATCTGGAAGGCTAAGACACTTTTATCGAGACTCAGGGGTTTTAAACCCAGTTCCTTCTATCCACATGGCCCTCAGTAAGTTGCACAACTGTTCTGGGTGTCCATCTTCTTCTTGCCTTCCTTCCACACCCACCACTGTCATCTCTGTTGGCAGAATGACGGCTGAGCTTTGCCTGACTTCCCACAGAACTAATTAAAGTCTACAAAGCACTTTGAGAACATCCAGTGTAGGGTTCTTGCCAAGACAGAATTACAGGTGGGAATGGCAAGGAATGGGATAGGTAAAACTGGGAAAGTTGAGTTGCTCTGAGGAAGGCTCCAATTAGCCTCACTCCACGGTGAATCTTCAAGCTTTTTCTCTCTTGTCTGCTCAGCTATTTGTAGAAGAGTCCACTTCTTTTCCCCTGTCAAAGAATCAGATACGAGACAACCTGGGAGTTGAGTTCTGCAATCCTTTCATCTCAAAATCACACACAGACTCCTTCAGACAACACTTGTCTTATGAAAAGGAAATAGTGGGATTAAATCTGAGCCTGGAACAAACCCCTCTGATGCAGGATGCTTCCAAGTATGGTTTCTTAGGGATTGCTCTTGAGCATCTTCTCTACCATGGCCTTGATATGGACACTTCTGGGGAGGGGGGTTAAAAAATTCCTCTAAAGAGTCAGATCCTGCCCAGGAGGAGTTTACCTGTGAAGGCAAACACACACACAATAAAAGCAACCTAAGAACATTTACAAAGCAACACATTAATATAGGCAAATAAACTAGCATTGGAGGGATTAAGGTTAGACTGCAGAAGAACTTCCTACCGCAACAGATATTGTGGATTCTCCTCTGCTTGGTAGGTTTAGGAATATCTCTGTTGGAAAACAAGAATCTTTTACCTTTAATATTCCTCATTCATGTTACAAAAGCCTCAGTCTTTGGGGTCTTTTAAGTATATTCTGCATTTAAACAGGTCAGCTGTACCTTGGGATTTTTTCTTTTCTTCTCTCACTGTTCTGTAAACATTTTCTGGCTCCATTTCTCCCATTTCCATATTCTGAATGGCAAAGGCTTTCTGCTGCTGAATCAACACATCCCCCTGTGGGACACATGGAATCAGCCAGCATTCTTCCAGGTGAAGATGAGCAGGATGGGTAGATACACTTTAGCACATCTCAAATGTATGAATGGCAGGACATCATGAGGCCAGAAGGAGGAGGGGTGGGAGAAGCATCTCAACTCTCAAGCATTCATCTCCACATCTTTTAAACTGAAGGCTTTCTTTTCTTTTCTTTTTTCACTGGCTCCTTGGAGTTTATTTTCTGCTTGGTGCCAGGTTCACAGTTCCAGGTGTCAGGAAAGCTTGTAAGTGCTGAGGCCAGGGCCGAGGCCGTAGAGAGCAGGGCCCTCACTCCTTTATAAATGAAAGGCTTCTGAGGTTTTTCACTGTTTTAGGGAGGGTTCTCTGTGGTCTCAATTATCCATACTTCTGGTAGCAAACTATGACACTGAAAGCCAAAACAGGAGATTTCAGATACAACACAAGAAGGTGCTTCCTGAGGGGTCTGACCAAGCAAGAAAGGTTTCTGTAAGACGAAGAAATATTCGGAAGGTTTGTTTCATTCTAGACCTCACCAAATGATGAATGAAGAGATGGCTGTGCCCAAGGATGCAGGACAACAGGAGCATGCAGGGCCAAAATGAAACATTCTCTGCAAATCACTCCAAAAATGAATAACACACCAAATAATGGCAAAAATGAACAGAGGATATTGGGGAAATGGTCAACTCTTGCCAGGATTGTGTCCTCATCATCAGAAGAAACAAGGGAAAAATAGCTCTAGTTTGGGGAAGGGAAGGAGATGAAGAAGATAACTCCTAGTGCCAGGTTCATTCTGAAGCTGTGGTTTCAGACCAAGAGTGTGTGTGCTCAGACTTGCAAAGCTCATGCCTGTAGACTTGGAAGAGAAGACTCCATTCAATGTGTGGATTCAGTTAAGCCTAACAGGCCCAATATTCTCACCCAGACTTTAAGGTTCTCTCTTCCCTTTTACCACCTTCAAGGTACCCTAATGTTCCTGACCATCTCTTTTCTTCAAACCACATATAAGGCTTTTTAACCTCCACTGGATGCACTTAAGGAAAGTAGACAAACTGTATCTTAAAGCAAAGCAAGCTCCCCTGATGTAGAAGATTCAATAACACATTTCATGAACTTAAAATGGCAGATGGACCAATTATAATTATCTGATGCCTGAGCAGGGGACCTGCCCTAAAGCCTTCTGTGGAATTCCATGATGTGAAGGAATATCAGTTCCTGGTAAGAGGCGCTTACAGTCTAAGTAGAGAAACAAAACATAAAGACACACGAGGAACAATCACAGAGCTCACACAGACCTAGGCAAAATTATGCAGCACATACTGAAAAAGGACAGATGGAGGCTGGATTTAGCTCTATTTTCCTTACCTACCATTTTGATCATTCACTCACTGTGAGCCAGGCGCAGTGTTAGGAGGTGCTCTATATACCTTCTTTACTTTTTTTTTTTTTTTTTTTTTGAGACAGAGTTTTGCTCTTGTTGCCCAGGCTAGAGTAGAATAGCACAATCTTGGCTCACTGCAACCTCCACCTCCTGAGTTCAAGCGATTCTCCTGCCTCAGCCTCCTGAGTAGCTGGGATTACAGGCCTGTGCTACCACCCCCAGCTAATTCTGTGTTTTTAGTAGAGACAGATTTTCTCCATGTTGGTCAGGCTGGTCTCGAACTACTGACCTCAGGTGATCCACCTGCCTCCGCCTCCCAAAGTGCTGGGATTACAGGCGTGAGCCACTGCACCCGGCCACCTTCTTTTCTTTTAATCCTCACAAACAGTGTGATAGGTATTATTAGCATTATTTCAGACATAAGATTAAGTAACTTCTTTAAGTAAACAGGAGAATTAATTGAAACTGTTCTGGGTTAAAACCCAAATCTATGTGACTTGAAGTAGGTGCCCGTAACCCCCACCCCATATTGCCTCCTTCTTCAGAATAACTTTCTATCTTGAAAGAAGTTATGAATTGTCTTTGCTTGAGAAGAGTTTGTACAACTTAGAGGTGGTGTTGTGAAAGTAAAGGAATGAATGATACGAACTGCTTTCCTGACTGGGCCATCTAGTTCTAGGCGGAGGAAAACAATAAAAACCACAAGCTCAAGAGATGCTAAGGTTGCACAAGCTCCCAGGGGCCTTGGGCTGAAACATACTTGGAGAGGTCATTCTGCTGCTTCCACACTGAAGACTTTAGACTCCACGGGATTCACGTTAGGAAGGTGAATGAACTACATTTTTATACAGAGCAAGCTCCCCTGACACAGATCATATCATACATTTCGGGAATCTCCAGATTGATTAGTTCCTCCCAATTTAGCTTTTACGATTTTACTAGACTCTAAAATTAATAGAAAAGAGTATTCTGGGGACCTTTGGCATTAACTTTCTGGCATGACAACTTTTCCATGTGTCTAGCTTCAATCCTTGCTCCCACAAAATATACATTAGAGCTTTACACCCGACATACACTCTGTAGAGTATAAAACTATATAAAATGGTCATAGCCCTCCAAGGACTTATGCCCTCATGTGTGGATAATTACAAGAAAGGCAAGATTCAATATGTGAAGTGTGAAAAGAGCTTATAGTCCTTAGTACCAAGATCCTCTTTGGTCAATATTTACCCAGATGCTCACGGAACCACAATCTTTTTGAGAAAGTCTTAAGCAAGAAGGTAAGACATTTGGGTCTTAGGCGCAATGTGTACTTCTAACTCACCCTCTCCTGGCATTCGTGGAACATTTACTGGGCACTTATGATGTTCCAGGCACTGGGAATGCAGAGATGACTATGCTATAAGCCTGCCAGCGAGGAACTCACATACATGCCTTTATCAGAGCTGGGAGCACGTCCCACCCAACACATCCAAGCAACTTCAGCAAGGTGCTTAACTTGAGAGTATGGGGCAGAGTGCAGAGACTAATGCTAATAGTGCTGAGTCAACAGTTTATCCACCCACCCCCACAACACTTCCTCAGAAAGTGGGAGACTTGCAAGAAACCACATGAGTTTCACTAATCCCCCACCAATGGTACCCACTGCATTACTGGCCTCATTACTTCTTAATGGGACTTCGTTGATTACAGACTGCTTAATTACAGTGACAGACTCCCTTTTGGTTGGGGGGCCCCGGGGAAAGAAAACGAGGGGAAGAAGGTTAGTGTGTGTGGCGGGGGGGACTATGACTGTAGGCAGTCCCCCACCTCCCACCCACTGCTCTGCCATCCAGGGCAAGAGCTAGTGTGAGAAAGGGATCTCTAAACAGCCATATTGTTCCTCCTTTTCTGCCCCCCTCACACTAATAGAAGGCTTCGGAGAGAAGAAAAGAATCAACTTCATCTTAGGGCTGTTTTCCTAATACAGGTTTCTTCATTCAGCTCTGAAAATATGTTAATCAGAAAGAAACAGCAATATCATGTCACTATTTTTTTTTTTTTTTTTTGAAATGGAGGTTCACTCTGTCACCAGGCTGGAATGCAGTGGCACAATCTTGGCTCACTGCAACCTCCAACTCCCTGGTTCAAGCAATTCTCCTGCCTCAGCCTCCTGAGTAGCTGGGATTACAGGCACAAGCCACCATGCCCAGCTAATTTTTGTATTTTTAGTAGAGACGGGGTTTCACCATGTTGGCCAGGATGGTCTCCTGACCTCATGATCTGCCCGCTTGGCCTCCCAAAGTGCTGGGATTACAGGAATGAGCCACCGTACCCTGCCATCATATCATTATTAAAACACAGGTATAGTATAATTCTTGGTACATAGCAGGAATATAACAGATATTTGTTGAATAGATGAACGACTACAGAAAGACAGAGTAATAGGAGCAAATGTATGCAGAGAGAACAAGCTGATGGTATGTCTATGCTGGGCTACCTAATCAAGTGGCCCTTTCATGGAAGCACTCCCCACCTGACTCTCTGCTAAAATAACCAATTGCATGACCAAGTCGACAACATCAGAAGGCACTTTTGGTACCATACATATGCATCTAGTGACCAAAAGAGAGGAAAAAAGGAAGGGAAAGAGGAAAGAAGGGTTGTTGGTTGGTTATTTTTTTCCTGTATGTGTATGGATAGCAGTCCTGAAAAGACAGAGGTGGGAAAAGCAGAGAATAGAAAAGGTGAAGTAAAAAAGCTTGAATCAGCTACACAACAGAGAAGAAGAGACTGAATAGGCATTTCAGGCCAAAAACAGAGAAAGTGTAGAGATGGTCCAGACAGCCACATCCACTTCAAGTAGTGCCATCAGTTCTTTTAATATCTTGAGTTGACCTTACCTTGCTACCTCTACCATACCTATCCCAGGCACTCAATAAATAGTCATGGTTCAAACCCAGGCAACTATTGATCCTGGCCAATAAAATGAAAGTGGATGATTAAAAAAAGTAGAGATCATGAGACTACATTTTAAATTTGGTTTTGCCCAAGGAGTTGCCTTAGCAATTATGATTTACATAAGCATTCATTGGGAAGGGTTTGCAATGTCAGCTTGGGAATGACTAGGGTAGGGAAGCCAAGGTGTACACTGAAGGGCAAGGAATGGTCAAATCAGGATTTAAAATGTCCTGGAGGTAATACGCACGCCCCAACATTGGGGGTTGAGTATTCGTACCTTCATTCTGAACTATACAATTTAAGGAAAAATTTCTAATACCTCCACCTTTCATTTGTCATATTCATCATCAGAGGTAGATCTAGCTCAGGGTTCTTTCTCTCTTCTTTTATATAAACTGGGTTATTCCTTATGCTGGGAGAGTATTAAACTGTCTATAAAATTCCCTAAATTAATCACCAGATAGTTTAAACATAATAAACATGTGAACTGTCTCAGTTAATTGGCCCACGAAATTGTGTTCATCCTCAGAATCATATTTTCTCCTCTCTTACACTTTCCCTGTCATCCTGAGCTAATGTCACAAGCACGAAAAATCGTTCTTGACTAAAACTGAATTCATATCCAAAATTAGAGCAAGACCTTAAATAGGAATTTAAGAAATAACTCCAAAATAGGTAGAAGAGAGGATTTTGGATGTCTTCACCACAAACACATGATACATGTTTGAGGTGAAAGATATGCTAATTACCCTGATTTGGTTACAACATGATGTGTGCATGCATCGAAACATCACACTGAACCCCATGAATATGTACAATTATTATGTGTCAATTAAAAACAAAATAAAACTTGTAAAAATAAAATCCAGGCTGGGCACAGTGACTCACGCCTGTAATCCTAGCACTTTGGGAGGCTGAGGCTGGTGGATTGCCTGAGCTCAGGATTTTGAGACCAGCCTGGGGAATACTGTGAAAACCCCATCTCTACTAAAATACAAAAAATTAGCCAGGCATGACAGCATGAGCCTGTAATCCCAGCTACTGGGGAGGCTAAGGCAGGAGAATTGCTTGAACCCAGGAGACAG